AACCCTCTATTTGTGTAAAGAACACCCTGCTCTGAGAAAAGTAGCTGATGCCCAGCCAGCAGTGGGAGTTTACTACTACATAATGTATTTGGAAACATGGAATAAAAAGGGGGAGGGAGGGAACCTCTGACTAATTAAATGTTGTCTAGGGAATGATGTGGGGTAAGATGTTATTGGAGTTGTCAGATGCTGCCAGGCTCTTCAGGTGTCCTTCCATGTTGTGTAAGGCCAAATGCCTTGGCCTCATGCCTTGGTCACAGTAGCATTTGCCTCTTTCTGACTGGAATAAGGGAGTTTGCCACAGGGGTTATGTTTTTGTTTGGCCTTGTTGTTACCCTAGTTGGAAGAATTGTCATGCGAACCATCCTCAGTTCATGAACCAGGGGTTTCAAAGGTTATTTGCTGTAGCTGCAGCTGGAGGGGAAAAGGAAGCCTTACTCTTTTGACTCCCAAACATCCCCTACTGAGTTAATTCAACTCATTTCTGTAAAAACCCTTTTCTGACCTTTCCCTGTAAGTGTATTCAAGGCCTCCGGTAGTTCACATGGAAAGGAGTGCTATCTGTGGCTCTTCATAGCTCGAGCATGACACTAATTTTGGACCGAAGCTTCACCTCCATCCTGGAGAAAGCAACGGTAACCACAGTGTTTTTGCAGCCAACTAACCAAATGATTGTACAGCCTTAGCCCAGCTCTAACCATGGCTGTTCCCCAAATACGTAACGTACAACTTCTATCCAACCACACTGCTTTTCGGAATGAGTGTACTCCATACTTGGCTGTGTTACTTTTTACCCTCTTTCCTGAGCTGGAAACCAGACGCCACTCTCATAGCCTGGAGTGGACGCCGGGAATCCTGAGGGCCAGCCAGCATTTCAGCACTCTGCCACAAAAAAAATTGTGCAATAAGTTGGCAAAATATTTCCATACTATGCAGAAGGAGAAATACACCAACTGTTGCTGTGCCCGTTTCTTGAGTGGTTCTAACAAACAGAACAGGTCCATTGTGTAGACCTGATGACCATCTTGCTCCTAAGACTTACTAGCTTGGTTGGGGTCCAGCTACACAGGACCAGTGTCTTTGTGGGATGACAATTTGTACTGTAGGGTGTGCTTGTAAGGGACTGTATGGGCAACTTCAATTCCAGTATTTCTTGTGTGGCACACGTTGCTGCCTGTGTATTTGTGTGAGGATGTCGCGTGCTTCAAGACTTTGTTACAGCATTATAAAGCCTTTGTCTTCAGGTCACCACTTGGAATCCCTCTTGCTTCAGTAAGGACTAAAAGTTGCTCCAAACCAGCGCATATGTGGGTAGCTTGTATATGAAATGGGTTTGGTGGAGTTTGTACTGGGTCCCGTATCAGATTTGGTATTATGCTTTCCTCAGGTGTGCAGATTTTCCAGGAGAAGCCTAGAAGCCGCATATTGCAGAAAGAAGTGCTGGTGGGGCTGTGTGAAGATACTCACTTTGCTCTGTTGCAGCAGTGGGGAGAGATTGGTGACTTCTTTCAAACTGGATGCCACACTGACTCTCTTCATCTGCACTGAAGTCATCCCCCTTAGTCTTAGGCTCCAGCATTAACAGTGTAGCCATTGTAGTATATCACACACAGAGCTATGCAAAACATCTCACATACTTTTCTTTTTAAAGAACATGCTTCCCCCTGTGACTGGGCTATTTTTACAGCTCAGCGTTTCAGAGCAAAGTCTCTCTCAGGGGAATGTATCTTCCAGTTGGTTAGTAGCAGAGGAGGAGAGGAAAGTTTCACAACTGCTAAGAATAAATCTGAAGAGGAGGAAGAATATAGTGATTTCTCATGGCAGGGGTGTGGAAATAGTTGTTGCTTAGTCTGTTTAAATGTTCACTTACCACGAGAACTGTTTTTTCTGTGTCAGTCTCACTTTTTGAGTCATCACGCTGAATTCTCAATTAAGTGACCTCACTTTATGCTGTAAAATCATCAAAATACCCTATATTGCTATCTGCTTATTTTAGAATGTCAGACACATAACTTACTGGAGCGCAAGCTGGTTTTACTTGGGATTTTATAAGATATGAAACACCTTGGTTACGTTCTGTAATGTGTATCAGGTTTGGGTTAGGTGTTTTGGTGTGTGTTTTTGTGGGGGGTGGGAGGGAATCTGTATTAACCCCGAAGTTGTGTGCACTTCCCATGCACACGTCATGTACATACTTCCGTATGTTTTGATTGTTTGGAAATGTCTATGTGTGAAGTTCTGAACAAATTAAGTCTTCTGAAGCTACTGAATTAAACTGTCCGAAGTTCCTGGGAATTCCCTTCTCAGGAATTGGCAGCAGGCATTTTTTTTAGGGCTTTTCCAGCAGTGGAGGCATTAACAAGGTCCCTCTTGCTCAGGGACTCTTTCACGTAGACTAGTGAATTCATGTTAGTGCGTCTCTGTCGAGGATTTAGTTGCTATCTTCTGAATTGCTACTTTTGTGGAAGTTGTAGGAGCTAAACTATATGCTCATAACACTTTTTTTTAAACCTGTCCCCCTTCAGTTGAAAACATTTTTGTGAG